CTCCCACTTACTTTGCTCTCCACCGCTGAGTATGTGTTTCGCTGCGGGATCTTGGTAGCTGCGCAAGTGCTACACTTTCAGTTTAGCGCTGGCCGAGTATGGAGCCGACACCAAGTAACAATCATCTCCAGCTCACTTTCCTTGCAGTTTTAAGCGGAGAAAGTGGATCTCTACCGCAGTTGTGACCCATTCCTCGCACATGACAAGGACCGTCCTCATTGGTGAGTGCAGAGTTTGTCTTCAAATCGTTATAACATTAGTTGGATGACATACCTGCTCGTTTTTGACACCCGGCCAATCGTTGAAAGTGTCTGAGGAAATATTAGGCTCCGTCTTCAGTGTCGAAAAATCTGCCCATTCGTCATCCTTCATGACTTTCCTTGGCGTGCTGCTATCTTGTGGAGAACAGGACCAAGCTTCGGCTGCTTAAAGAAGGTGACATCTGTTAAAAGTACAGGTAAATATAAAAGAACTTTTATTATTTGACATAAACTAAAAGATCAAAGAAAATATGGAACAAAGGAGGAGATGCCAGTGTTTGCCATATGATACGACCGTTTTTAGCTTCAAAATCCCAGCACTCATATCTCCGTATTCATCAAAATTATTATCGATACCTCTAAGTATAGTCTGGACTACTGGACCTCTACAACATATTCTAAAAATCAACACTTACTGCTCGCAACTGGCGCCTGATCCCATTGCACTTGGAAGTCGGAAGTTTGTTCGTTTTTCGTTGCGCTACTCATCCCCGGCCAATCATCAACCGAATTTCCATTCGCTTTCTTCATTGCAACCCACTCCTCATCAGGAGTTACAAAGCGACCTGGAACAAGCTACTTTCCGCAGAATATAATAGGCTATATTATACCATACAAAGCATATTACATGGTAGAAAGAATTCTCACTAACTCGACTGATCTCCATCCTGCATAGGCCAATCACTGAGCAATGAGGATTTCTTCATGCCGCACATGGCTTCGAAGTCACTTTCATCCACATCATTCTCTTCCAGGTTCATATCTACCTTACATACCCGAAGGTTGTGTACTGCAAATCTGAAAACAAGTACATGAGCTAGGAGCCCGTGGGAGATCCACGATCCTAAGCTGAACCTTACTTTTAACTCGGAGAAAACAAAATTGTAGGATTCCTGAGTTTCACTGTCTGTCGATTCTCCCCTTTTTTCTTGTCGAACGAATCAAAGAGCAGATTTTATGAGACAACCTTTTCGGACTCCTCCCCTCTCGACTTGGGAGGGCTCAGGGCCCGAAAGATTGTTAAATAAAATCTCGAAGTTTTCCTCCAGGCGAGGAAAAAAAAACGAAATTTTGGCGCACTTCGGCGAAGGTGGGGGGGGGGCATTTTGCACTTTCGCTGCTTGACTTCCGGTCTACATTTCTCAATCTGGTGAAACCTGTGAACCCTTGTGAAGCTGGAGCAAGCTCGCTGAGCCACCATGGTAAAACCTCTGAGCTCACGAAATGGTTCTCTTAAAGGGTCGACACGTTTAGGAAGTAGCAAAAAAGCACCCCCCCCCCCCGTCGCCGAACTGCCCCGAAATTTCAACCGGTCAAAGAGCCTAGCAGTGGTTGAAACACGAGTCAGCCGTGCTTTCCTAAGACTTCGACGTAGGCGAATAAGCCGCAAATTTAGCCAAGTAAAACAGTGTTTAAATCTTGGCTGCGGTTCCAAAATCCACTCAAGAATACCTTACACGATGCCAGAAATTTCATTTTTTACTGTCTAATAACATTTACGTTTTCAGTAAGATAGCAGCGGGCGTAGAGAACAAGTAGTTAAACTACCGCATTTACGAATACTGAATAGAAAGCCTAACAGTATAAGGTAATTTAGTGCAATGAGTACTTAAGGTGTTCCAAGCCACGGCATCACTTT